TTTTTAGCACGCTATTTACATCCCTTTTATTTATCCGTGCTTTCCATTTATACACCTCAATCATATCCCCCTAATTCTACGCCTTTCTAGAGAGTGCAGATTCAGGGCCCTCAGTCTGTCCTCATAGGGAAGATTTTTGATACATGGGATCAACTTTGTCATCCTCCTTTGTACTTTTTCCAGAGCATTTATATCCATTCTGTAATACGGTGACCAAAACTGTGCAGCATAATCTAAATAAGGCCTAACTAAATATATATAGAGTTGAAGAACAACCTGAGGACTTCTATTATTTATACTTCTTGATCTGAACCCAAAGGATTCTTTTTGCTTTTTTCGAACATAATCCCCTGTTGTCTTGGTTTCAGTTTACTGCTAACCAGAACCCCTAAATCTTTTCACAATCATAATATTAAGATCAATATTATTTTTTTATATGGGGCAGGGCTTTTTAAACTGTCCAACATTTAGAATTTGCATTTGTCAATTTTAAAAAACTGCATCTGCCACTTCTCCGCCACTGCATCAGTCTATTCAAATCATCCTGGAGTATTTCTATGTCCTCTTTATAATGAATTGGAGGGCCTTTTTTGGTGTCATCAGAAATTTGCTTAGTCGCTTTTATTCCCTCAACTATTCTTTTAGTAAACTGAACAACAAGGGGCCCACCCATGCCCCGGGGAAACCCCGCTTGTGACTGCCCCCCCCCTGTCTCTCCCCATTTTTTTCAAACTCTGCTGCTATTTGTCAACCATGCCTTTTCCCGGGAAAAAATTTCTCTTTCTATTCCGTGTGCCTTAAGTTTCCTCAAAAGCCTCTGACGTGGAACTCTATCGAAAGCCTTACTGAAGTCCACATACACAATATCATATTCAATACCATGATCTACCTCCTCAAATACCTTAGTGAAAAAAGTTAGTAAATTCGTAAGACAGGAACGCCCCTTTGTAAAACCGTGTTGAGATTCATTAATCAATTTATGCCTTTCAAGATGGCTACGAATTGCCTCGGCAGTTATTGATTCCATAAACTTTCCCACTATGGAGGTAAGATTTATTGGTCCAGCACCAGGAACACTGCCCCAGGCTACGAGGGTCCCACACCATCCAGCACCAGGAACACTGTCACAGGCTAGGCAGATCCCACAGCATACATCTCCAGGAACACTGCCTCAGGTTAGGCAGGTCCCACATCATCCATCACCAGGAACACTGTCCCTGGTCTCCCGCTGACTCTCTAAGTAGTGTCCTGTACTCGCTAAACTTATGCAACAATCTAAAGTGAGAGTGGAAAGAGGCTGCTTAATGGTCGTAGCTTTCCTGAAGACGCGTCTTATTCCTACCATCGGAGGATTAAAGCCTCTTGAATCAAGAGTTTTTTTTTTTAATTAAGGATCCTCTGGATAAAGGATTCTTCTCCAGCACCAAGACACTCACTTGAAATAATTTCTAACACTAGAATGCACTTATAAAGAAGCTTTATTGACCACTTTTCGCTAGCGCATTGCAGCTCAATAATTCCCGTAGTTGAAGAATGAGACATTTGTGCAACATCTGGGAATCTTTACTAAGGAAACGTTTCGCACAAGTGTCCCATTCTTCAACTTGTTATTTTTTCAAAGCCATTTTCATCATTAAAGCCGATAGTGTGGGCGAAACGTCGCTATCAAACGTTCCACGTACCTTCATCTATGGTATAAACCTTGGTAATAAATACCGACAAGTTGGTTTAGAAAGACACGTAAGCAAACACTATAACATATTTATTAGAAAACGTTTCGGTCCTGGGACCTTGATCACTTGAAGTGAACAAGGTCCCAGGACCGAAACGTTTTCTAATAAATATGTTATAGTGTTTGCTTACGTGTCTTTCTAAACCACCTTCATCTATGCACCATAATTTTTAACTTGAGAATACATCTAGTAAGACGCCATTTGCATCACCCTTGAAATGAGATACGGAATTTCTCATTAAACCCCTACACATTCTTAATACGCATATAGAAAAAAAAAAGACTTCATGGATCATTGTATACTCGTAATTAGTAAATCATAAATATAATTAGGCAAATAGAACAGTAAAAGCAAGACAGCTACTGAATTCATAGACACACTGAGGTCACTGGAAAATTAGCTCAAGCTGAACTTTTCCTGACTTGGTGGATAATGTACGGAATGTGATTCACCTCAAGGAAAGAATGCAGTGTTTACCTTGCTTTGTCTGCCACTGAGTATTGACCACATGGGAGGAGCTGCATGTTTCGTTACGCTCTGGATGAGAGAAGCAAACTCAGTAGCTCTGTGTTCGTTTCTTTATGCGCTCTGTACAAGTTGAGAGCGTCAACATTGTCCAGTGGTGAGTTAGGGGGTAGAGGAAGAGGTGTGGACAACAACGACCTTGTTGAAGATTAAGACACACGTGAAACAGTTGGGTATCTTTATTGTTGAAACGTTTTGCCTGTACAGTAGGTTTCTTCAGACAAACACAGTGAAATAAAGGTGATATAATCAGTCCATGAACCTTGGAGTAAAAGCATTTGAGGTGGTCTGTCCCTCAGCTAGAAGAAGAGCTCAGCTCCGTGGTCTGGAACATAACACCGACCCTCCAGACAAGTGATCGGGAAGGTTCAACAAACAGGTAGTGAAGTGTACACTTGGGTAAACCTAAGTATAAGATTGATACAGTAATTAGAGTAAAAAAAAAACTCACGTTTTTGAGCTATGGTAGAAAGGGACGTCTGTTATGGTGATGGGTTGTGATTAGATACAAGTAAGCTCTGCTACAGAGTTCTTTCTGTTACTCCAATATACAAAAGGAAAACATAATTTTTCTGTATAACGATAGTAACAGGTTACAGAAGATCAAATTTCGTAAGAATGAGGACAACTATGACTTTATCACTAATGATGAAGCTTCTGTCAACAGTCTTCGTACCACCCAGTATGGTATCATCAAGAACAAAAGGCACAATACCGTGACTGGGACAATACACAGATAACCCGTAAACAGTGGAGAAAAGCTTACGACGACGTTTCGGTCTGACTTGGGAAGGGAAGTATATATTGGCTCCAATGTGCGGGCTATATGTGTATGGCATCATCAAACTGTAAGCCCCTCACTCTAGGGAACCACAGCAGGTTCATATTGTTGTATATAAAATCAACAAGAGATTGAACCCCAAATACATGGAGTCAGACCAAGTTACCAAACCCTATTGATTTTTCAACACTGATATTATCTGAGCGTACAGTCCCAGTACTTCTACCCTTCACTCACTCCTGTATGGCACTTAAAAAGAGCAACAAATCACCACTCTTCCCTCCCCTTCCTTGCAGATGCTAGAAATATCAGCTGTTAAGTAAAAGGACACAATGCAACGGCTTTATAAAGCCGTTGCAGGCTTGATAAAGCTCCTGGAAAGCGAAACGTTGACACAGTAAAATGTCACATTTAGTTGCATTTGTGTCGTTTTACTTAACACTCGGTAATTCTACCAATATTAATCCTGAAATATCAGCTCTTGGGTCACACTGGCTGAGGTATGTGTGTTTTAACCATGCATCTCAACAGTGTTACACAGGCTGTAAGGAATACAGTAGTAAATATGTATGAAATGTTCCAACTATAAGCGCAATGAGGTTAAAGCGTCCCCTCGCCACTGCAGAGAGCGGCCAGCCAGATATAAACATGTAAATTGTTCATTACCACTGTAATTTGCTTAGCTATCAAAACTTTGCAGCCCAGCACCTTCCAAGGTAGGTGAAATTGGTGACCTAAAATATGTACAGAGAACCTTCACGGCGCGCATAACTGCGATAAACCACCTTAATTACTGGGAACGCTTGAAGTTCCTAAACCTGTACTCCCTAGAAAGCAAGAGGGATAGATACATGATTATATACACCTGGAAAATCCTAGAGGGATTAGTACCAAACTTGCACACGAAAATCACTCCCTACGAAAACAAAAGACTGGGCAGACGATGCAACATCCCCTCAATGAAAAGCAGGGGTGTCACTAGCAGTAACAGCCTGGGTGATCAGGCTCTGATCCACCATGAGACCTGGTCACAGACCGGGCCGCGGGGGCGTTGCCCCCGGAACTCTCTCCAGGTATCAAGGACTCATTATGTATTTCTGTAAACCTTTGACTGCCGCCCACAGGATGAATTTGGAGTGCATAATAAACATATTATACTAAACTGTCTTGAGCCATTACAACAGCCGCTATTTCAAAGCGTGTCCTGCATCTGTCGTTCATCATTTGAATTAATACTGGGAAGACCATGGACCGTGTGACAGTGAGGACCAGGAGGTGGAAGTGTACCTGTGGATCATCCCGTAATGACTGTGTTCACACCATCGGACCAGCTGATTCGGTGCAAGTCGCTGGTTCTGTGGCTGAACCTGGCCAGCATCTACGCTGAGAATTTATTTTAATAATTATTTTGGATTAATAAGCAAGTTTATTTAGGCACAGGTACACATATATACAGTTATCATATATAGTGTAAATTACATATGACGACTCCCAAAAAAGTCAGTGATTTATTTCCATTGGAGTCCTTGAGTATTTTTGACTGGAGAACAGATGACATGTAGCCTCAAGAACCCTTCCAGTAGTTAGGCTTGAAGGCCAATTAACCAACCAATCAACCGCGTTTCCAGTCAAACTCGGTTGACCAGTCTACAGTTAATACAGTTGGTATAATATAGTTAGTAAAATATAGTAACTCTCATGGTCCGGTGGATGTGTAGACTAGTTAGTGTTAGTGATTATTATTATTATTATTATAATCAAAAAGAAGCGCTATAGTGTTTGTGATACTCTCAATCCTGAGTCTTCTAAGAGGTATCTATCAATTTTTTCATTGGTACAACAGATGTAAATAAAATTATGTCAATCACAGTTATATGTATTACCTTTCTTTTTTTTTTTTTTTTTTTTTGGGGGGGGGTTGACAGTGTCTGATAATTTATTAAACATTTTGTTTGTTACAGGAGCCAGCCATGAAAACCAGCTGATGGCTGAGAGCCCACCCGCCCGAGTGAGACCTGGTGTGACCAGGTGGGCGGGTGTGACCAGGTGGGCACGTGTGACCAGGTGGGCGGGTGTAACCAGGTGTGCTAGTGTAACAAGGTGTGCAGGCGTGGGCATGACGGTCATGCTGGTAATGGTGGCAATAACGTCCCTGGCAGTGACCACCGACCCCCACCATCTACCCAGAGTGTTCACTCGTAACGTTCAAGGTAAAACTTCACCTTCAAGTTCCCTCTTGATTCAAGGAATTCGATGTACCTTTCCCTTTCTCGGATTAAACTTCATTGTCTGCCTTGCCTACTTTTCCCCGTGAATGAACTTCATTTTAAAGCTACAATAAGTAATTTTTTTTAATTTAAATTAACCCTGATATATTCTTTTTCATCACCATGCTGAAGGCTTCCAGCTCAGACTGACAGGCTTCATTACCTCATGTATGAAATCCGAAATCCATCCTGTGTGACGGAATATTTATAAGAATCCCATCTTGTGTGTTTAAATATTTATAGGAAACCAGTTCCATGTGGTGGACTTGAACCGGAAACCTCTCCTGTAATGGAGTATTAATTTTTTTAATACTTCGGCAGTCTCCCACTGAGGCAGGGTGACCCAAAAAAGAAAGCAAAACCCTAGAAGAAAGAAAAACCTTTAACCATCATTCATACATAATCACTGTCTTTGCAGAGGCTCTCAGATACGACACTTTAATAATACGACAGTTTAATAATAACACTAATTTGGAATTTGGCTCTTTCAAGAATTCTCAAGGTTCACATCAAGCCATAAATGCAACAACAACGACGAAGTAAAAATATGAAAGCTTATATTCAAGAGTAAGAGTATGATCATCAGGATCGTAACTTCTAGAGAAGAGATTTGACACCATGAACAGATTCTCGACTCTTAACACTTTTAATCAGTCTCTAAGGGTCCACGGTAGTTCGCGAAAACATTCCAAAGTCCGATGTCAAAAGTGGAAACACATCAGCAAGATACATGGGTTCATAAACTCAATAGCTCCAAATGTAAATAGACAGTTTAGGTTCAGTTGTTGAAGAATTGAGACACTTATGCAACATATGGGAATCTTTACTGAAGAAACGTTATGCCACACAGTGGCTTCATCAGTCCAATACAAAGTAGAGATGGGTAAGGAGATCTTGGTACAAAGGCTTCTTCAACGCTTGTCCAACCTTTGGACGACGACCTACTTACACTAGTGGAAGGTCCCACTGTGATCCCACCTCCTGCTTCGACTCACCTGACTTCAGTATATAAGCCACCTCTCTGGCCCTATGTTGTACTTCCTACAAGAGTGATGAACTGAACACATCGATTCCAGGCTAAGGGACTGATTACCTCAATCTCTTCTCCTTACGCATTTCTACTTTGTATTGGACTGATGAAGCCACTGTGTGGCGTAACGTTTCTTCAATAAAGATTCCCATATGTTACATACGTGTCTCAATTCTTCAACTTATCGGTTTTCAAAACCACTCGTCACAGATTCAGTTGTTACCTTGATAAGGAGCCACTGCAGCTGATATAAGTAGGTATTATCGGGAATCCCCATTAAAAGCGATACCAGTCTAGCTACACGATGTAATACAGAGTTTTTTTTAGCAAGTAGTTAGGCAAATTCGTAAACAATTGCAAAAATAAATTCGATAGGAAAGAAACGCGTGGATAAGAACCAAAACATTTTGCTAATGAAATATTTTTTTACTGAAAGGTGATTACCAATACGAAACTTGCAAGATATAACCATTTTTTTTTTGTGTGTCCAACATGTGACAGTGAAGAATCCGGGTAGACACCAAGATTCTTTCAAGTCCACAAGAATATTCGCCATTTTCTGACTAAAATAGTGAGAGAAGGCCAAGGCTAACTGAAAAGCAGAATCAGAGGTAGGCAAAGCAGGTTCAGATTCACGGCTAAGCAGGTCATTCAAATGGGCAAACATGAGCCCCTTATTTCCAGGACAAGATTAATTTTTTCCCCTGCAGTATTCCACCTTAAGATCGGATACCCTGCTCACGACTGTTCAACAAGTTTCTCCATGAGCAGGAGTACGCAATCTATGCAACAAAGGCAACAGGGCAACAAAGGAATCATACCAAGGGGCAAAATCTCGAATTAAGATCCGTTTAGTGATCAATGAACAAAACTTGCTAGTTACAGCCACAAATACCTCATTATAAGAAACCCATCCCGTGTGGTGAAATGTGACGGGAAATCTATTCTATGGTGAAATATGACAGAAAAACCACCCAGTGATGAAATGTGGCAGGAAAACCATCCTATTTGATGGAATATGACAAGAAACTCATTCTCTGTGATGAAATACGACAGAAAAACCATCCTATCTGATATGTGTTAGGTAAACAATTAGTTATTTCCATTGGGATCCATTCGAAATTAAGAGTGAGGTCGAAGCTTGCGAACTTCATGTCACCCACGTCGAGATCTCTCACGCGGCTCCACAGGTTTCCCGAGTGTTCCGTGAACTTGACTAATCGTACTCGGTAGTTTCGATAATATTTCAGCAAAACTCCTGGTAGCTTGTGAGGGGGAGCCAGCGGGAGTTATGTCATATAGATCAGAGTAACCACACAGTGCGCTTTTTCTAATTATGTTAATACACAAATGATTTTTTTTCTCCTGGTGTGCTGAAGAATTGGTAGGATAGCTGCAGGAAACCTGTAGGAGGTCTGTTGTATGAAAGAGATTGATTTTATTTGTGTGAAGAGCTGGAGAAGAGACATACAAGAGAATTGTTGTGATTATTGACTAACATTAATGAAGAAAAAACAGGCTTTGCAACCTACAAATTGTAAGCGAAAATCGGACTACGTTTTGGTTCGTTCTGAGCAATTATACAGTCGGGGCTGAAAAATACAGGACAAATACAGAACAAGCGGGGCTTGAACCCATGGTAGGTGACTAAGGTGAGTTTTAATTCTCACAGGCCAGTGCGCTGACTTGTTATTTGATTGCAGTCGTGTTGTTACGATTTCGTAATGGTCGAGGACATTTAGTGTCGGCAAGTCTCCATTTACTACCTGTGGGTTAGTTGTGAACTGTTCCATTCACGGTTCATGGTTGATGACTTATTCTTTACACGTTCTGGTGTATTTTAATGCCATTTATTTCCCTAGGTTCACTTGATATTGAGAACTAATGACTATTATTTTACAGCCGAAGCGAAGGTCGGAGTGTTGACGTCAGGGTCTGAAATGGATGAGGACCTGTGGGCTGCAGCAGTGCAGGCAACCAAAGATCACAGAGCCAAGAACGTCCAGCTGCGGAAGGCTGCGACGGGCAGCACCCTCCCAGGAACACTCCGGGCCTTCGCAACACTCTGGCAGGAAGGAGTTAGAGTCTTCCTCGTGGGAGGCGATGGAATGGAGGTAAAGGTTTTGTGCCGTTATATGGAAATCTCCGGCAGCAAGGCGCTGGTTATTTCTCCCACATCCCTAATCTCTAGTAATGACTGCCCTTCTCTGATATCCCTGTCTCCTCCCCATGGTGCACTCATCACAGCGGAGGTGGCCAGACTAGCAGCAGCCGGCATCAATCATCTTATCCCAATAATAACTAGGAGCGAGGCGGCGCATATATCACATGTGATGGCAGCAGGCAGGACCAAGGGCATCAGTGTGGCACCACCGGTGCTGCTGCAGATCAACAATATCTCCACAACATATCTGAGGGAGGCGCTAGCTGCTTCCCCGACAGCTGGTGTGTGGATGTCGGTGGGTAGCGAGTTGCCAGAAATCATGACAGCTATTGGTCATATCATTCATGATCACCTCATCATGTTACACACCCATCCTGCCCATCGTGCCAAACTTCTCAACCATCCAGTTGCCCGCTCAATTGCAGAGGCTTGTGCGGTGTGTACTGTAGCGTGGGCAGGGTCATCTATGGTGGATGATATCAATCGCCGTCAACTGCTGTCTGTTCTATTCCCTCAGAATCCTTTGGTGGCTGTCCTTGCCTATGATGCTGCAAGCCTCGCTTTAGCCTCCCTCACCCACAAGAACTTCTCTGATGTCTCCAAGCTGCAGGAACATCTTACTGATCATGCAGGTTACATAGGTGTCACCAAACGTATCGTTGGTGGTGTAGCGTCGGGCTGGGCTGTAAGGCTGAGGTTAGTTCCTCAACATTTGCTGGGTCATACAGTACTTCAAGAATCACCTTGGTTGTTAGAGGGTCAGACACGATTGGAAAGTGAGGCAGAATCTTTATGGGTGGTAGTGAGCGAGAATTATTCTCCTACCCGCCTGGTGACACAAGAAGAAATTCAGGGACTGGCAATGCTCACTAGGTGTGACACCAGTGTATGGATGGAGGTCACGGCTCATGACCCCCTGACGCACAGACCAGTCGTGACGTCGGTACACATCACAATGCCTCCTCACGCTCTTCTAGTACCTAATGGCTCTCCCAGTGGGTTCAGTATTAGAGCTTGGTGTCACAATCGCCAGGGTGCTCCGGGAGTAGACATCGGTTGCCATGGCTCAGCAGCTCACAATGACTCGATGCGTTGTGTAATAGCTATGTCCACTGGAGGTCCGGGCAACCGCCGTGCCATACGGACTTTCGTCAACAAGCATGGGTTTAGAATTCGTAGACCTAAGGGATATGGACGTTTTGCTCGGACTTTTAAAAAAATAAAGCAGTTCGTCAATCATACAGACTTCAGATCGGTGCTCCCTCAACTTAGTGCGTGTGTTGGATCCACTGCTGGATGTAGCTATTGCGTTCTGTTCATTTTATTGAACAATATTACCATAAGTCCTGGAGTATGCTATGGTGCGTGTGCTTTGGCAATAGGCGGGTCATGTACCACTCTCTTAGTCAGGGGAATACAGTATACCTTTGATCATACTGTCATTTGTACGGAGCTCTTCATCCAAGGGCGTCTTTCTCTTTCTTCATACTTGGCTGACGCCTCCTTCGGAGCCCGCCTGGCAAGCATAAATGCCCAGGCACTGGGTGGGTACCAGATGCTAGCAGCACCCCTAGTATCCATGATGCAAGTTTCTCCTATGGTGAGCCAGCTGGTGGAGTCGATGGCTCAACCATGGCTGCGGCACATGGAATATCAAGAAGGAATACGAGCCAATGATGACTTCTTGGGTCACCTCATCACTACTCTGGGTCTGCCGTTGTGTTCTTTTGTAGCTGTCCTGGTGGACTACAGAGATACCATTACTTTCGTAGTCTTGATGGCTATGCTCTGTCATTATGCAAGGGCATCCTTACTTGGCTAATTATTAACTTTAGTAGCTTACTCAGAATTCCAAAGCAACACTTGAGAATTTTCTTGGTAACTGCTAAATACCTGATCAAAACGAAATACTTTATTCAGCACATATTCATTACTTGGGTGCTGCTTTGGTAATTCTCAGGTAAAAGCTTTGAAACTGAAGTCTTTAACATTTAACAAACTCAGGTTAATTTGTGATAAATAGTTGTAGTGGCATCCAATACAATCTAAATAGCAATAAATTCAATAAAAAAATGTATCTCGTAAATAATCGTGTATCTTGTGGGTAGTCTAGCATGCCATCCGTGAGTTAGCTTTGAGAACCTTGTTAGAGTAAAGAAAGATAAGATTTTGTTTGGATTTTTAACCCCGGAAGGTTAGCCACCCAGGATAACCCATTCAAGTCAGTGCGTCATCGAGGGATTGTCTTTTCTTATTTCCATTGTGGCCCTTCAATCTTGTCCCCCAGGATGCGACCCACACCAGCCGACTAACACCCAGGTCCGGATACCTACTTGCTAGATGAATGGGGACAGAAAGTGTAAGGAAACATGCCCAGTGTTTCCATTCGGCCAGATATTGAACCACAGACATGCAGTGTACGAGGTGAGAGCGTTGCCTACCAGGCTACGGGAGAGCATAACCCATATACACGTTCAAGAGAAATGTGTGACCGTCCAGTGTTTCTAATAACCACATTGTGGAAGCACCTCAAGCAGACAGCAAGGGGGGCTCGCTCCCTCAAGGGAGGTTGCTTGAGGATGGTCAAGGGCTCTTGATCCAAGGAATTGGACATGAACTCCCCTTCCTGAGATTGTATCTGATTGCCGCCCATGTCCCCAGACATTGTGTGACCCCCTACAGGATTTACCGCTACCCCATAAAATGTAATAATGATAATTGTGGCCTGTGATTCAAGTTTTATTCATCTCGACAATATCTGTGACAGTAGTTTAGATCATTTATTATTATTTTTATTATTATTATAATAAAAACCAGCGCTCTTTACTTCTGAGTACTGCTCGGGGTGGTTGTGTTGACACAACCGCACCCAACAATGTCTTATCTGTAGCATTTAAGACCATTGGGAATATTTATTTTAAATAGAGATTTGTGATGTCACATCATAAAAAGTAGTTAAATAAATATCAGAGCCTCACTGCAACCCAAACAATACTCTGGAGTAAACCTGAAGGGGGTTTAGGGGGTCAACGCCCCCGCGGTTCAGTCCGTGACCAGGCCTCGCGGTGACTCGGGGCCTGATCAACCAGGCTGTTACTGTTGGCTGCACATAAATTGACGTACGAACCACAGCCCGACTGGTAAGGTACTGACTTCAGGTGCCTGACCAGCTCCTTCTTGAAGACAGCCAGGGGTCTATTGGTAATTCCCCTTATGTATGCTCGTGGTGCCCATGCTTTTCATTGAGGGATGTTGCATCTCCTGCTGAGTCTTTTGCTTTCGCAGGGAGTGATTTTCGTTTTCATATTGGAGACTAATCCCTCTAGGATTTTCCAAGTATATATTATCATGTATCTTTCTCGCCTGCATTCCAAGGGACTTCAACCGTTCCCAGTAATTTAGGTGCTTTATCGTACTTGTATGTGCTGTGAAAATTCTCTGCATATTCTCATGGTTTGCAGTTTTGCCTGCTTTGAAAGGGGCCGTTAGTGTACAGCAATTGTGGGAAATTACCTGCAGGAGGTTTACAGGGTATTACGTAAATTATTATTTTATTATTTTTTATTAACACACTGGCCGATTCCCACCAAGGCAGGGTGGCCCGAAAAAGAAAAACTTTCACCATCATTCACTCCATCACTGTCTTGCCAGAAGGATGCTTTACACTACAGTTTTTAAACTGCAACATTAACACCCCTCCTTCAGAGTGCAGGCACTGTACTTCCCATCTCCAGGACTCAAGTCCGGCCTGCCGGTTTCCCTGAACCCCTTCATAAATGTTACTTTGCTCACACTCCAACAGCACGTCAAGTATTAAAAACCATTTGTCTCCATTCACTCCTATCAAACACGCTCACGCATGCCCGCTGGAAGTCCAAGCCCCTCACACACAAAACCTCCTTTACCCCCTCCTTCCAACCCTTCCTAGGCCGACCCCTACCCTGCCTTCCTTCCACTACAGACTGATACACTCTTGAAGTCATTCTGTTTCGCTCCATTCTCTCTACATGTCCGAACCACCTCAACAACCCTTCGTCAGCCCTCTGGACAACAGTTTTGGTAATCCCGCACCTCCTCCTAACTTCCAAACTACGAATTCTCTGCATTATATTCACACCACACATTGCAACAGTTTTGGTAATCCCGCACCTCCTCCTAACTTCCAAACTACGAATTCTCTGCATTATATTCACACCACACATTGCCCTCAGACATGACATCTCCACTGCCTCTAGCCTTCTCCTTGCTGCAACATTCATCACCCATGCTTCACACCTGTGAAAAATACTGTATATATTTTCCGGAAATATGGTAATTTATAGGTAAATAGATGGCCTATACTGTATTTAATAATATTTGTCATAGAAAACGGAAAGCCTGCATCTGGGCAGGAGACTCGCCATCTTGGTTTTGAATTTTGTACAAACGTTGGTGTAATGGGAAGAATTTTTCGTGCTCTAGAGGTTAAAATTGTGTTGATACCTCTCAAATAGGAGGTGATTGGTGGATGTGCATTCCTGCATAACTTGAGATATCAGACGACTGGACAAGACAGCTCCAGGAACCTCAGATAAGCTCTCTAGATTTGTGTGTAATTCTGGCCAGCATTATTTTCATAGATTTAGTTAGAGTGAGTTTTCTGAGTATGATTCACATTAATCTCCAGTCAAATTGGTGAGTTATATTAAGATATATTTTCCTTCTGTTATGTAATTGTGTATATATATAACCATTTATTATTTTTAATATACAGTCCACACATTTATATATTTACTAGAATTCCTGGTGATGTATAATTCATTTAATTAATAAGTCCAGAGCAACTTGTGGATATGACAGTGGTAGGTATCGAAGGGGGACATTTTTTGCGACCTAGGTGTCCCAAATTCCTACTTGTCTAACTGATAAATAATAATTATCTTTTCATTTATTGTTATGTACATAATTATACATACAGATAAATGCAATTTCCCACATTTAATGAGCCCGTTGGTCCTTCTTGAACCGGAGGTAATTAGTGAAGTCATTAATTAGTTAATTACTTAATAATTATATGTGAAATGACAGTAGGAGGTGGATGTTAAGTTCACAAATTTACTGAATGTGTAGTGGATTATAATTATTACAATATTAATTTTGATAAGTCAAGTCTGGCTAAGTTTATATTAATTTGTATAATACTAATTTGATAAGACAATTCTGGCCAAGATTTATATCAGTGTATGTGTAATTGATAAGACAAGTGTGGATGAAGATTATATTTTGCATAATATTAATTTTGCTATGCCAAATTCTGGCAAGGATTTATATTTGTATAATATTAATTTGATAAGCAAATTTTGGCCAAGATTTATATCAGTGTATGTGTAGTTGATAAGCCATGTGTAGCTAATTATTAATGTGTATATTAATTTTGCTATACCAAATTCTGGCAAGGATTTATTAATTTGTATAATATTAATTTTGATGAGCCAAGTTTGCATTAATGCACATTTAAAATTTATATTATACATGTAATTGCTAAGCTCAAGTAGCTAGGATTTATTCAAAGGTAAGTTGTATCAGTGTTGTAAGTTGTAATCAGTGTTATTAATAAAGTTTAATTTAATACACTGCATCATGGCTGAAAATGAGGAAATTAATATAGAAGAAAAACATATGGAATATAGAGTAAAGAAAGCATCAGTACAGGCTAGAAAAGTTCATGTAACCAAGGCATATAATAAGTGCTTGGAATTAATGAATCAAGAAACTGTGAATACTGATGATTTAAAATTGTATTTAGATGCTTTAGGTAATAGATATGATTCATACAAATTATATTACAACAAATATGGAGATTTATTAGTAAACTGTGTAGATGAGACTGAAATAGATCTCATGATTAATCAGTATTATGAATTAGAGGAAAAGATTCTTTCTTGTAAAAGTCAGGCCTTGAATAAATTAAAATGTGTAAACCAGGCAGTTGGCCAGTCTGCTCCAACAAATAGTATGTCTTTGCCAAAACTCCCAGAATTGTGTTTGCCTGTGTTTAATCCTGGAGAAAAATGGGAGGAATTTTGGTCAATTTTTAAAGCAGCTGTGCATGACAGGAGTGACCTAGCCTGTGTAACTAAATTATTTTACCTCAAAGGACAGGTAAGAGGAGATGCTCACATACTCATACAAGCCTTTCCCAATGTAGATGACTCTTACAAGGAAGCAGTTGACTTGTTGAAGGTCACTTATGGTAATATAGAACAAAGTAGGTTGGATCTAGTGAATATCATTGTTAATTTAAAATCTCCAGATCACACTTACAAAGGTTTACAGCAGTTTAGAGTTAAACTGCAGAGCACTCTCAAAACTTTAAGTAATAAATATAATCTGAAGGAATCAGACTGGTTATTGAGTGCCATGGTAAAGAATAAATTTAGCTTTAAAACACTTGAATGACTCTCAAACAAATATCACAAGGGTTATTTTGGTCTGGAGGAAATAAGACTAGGTCTACAAGAATTAATTGGGGCAGTTGCAGACCAGCCAACTAACTCATTTTAAAGATGCAACACATAATAACTCTGAGGTATCTGCCAAGTTTCACAAAGGGAGAAATTATCCCAATAGTAATAATCAAAATTCATTTCCTAAAAAGAGTTGCATAGGTGCATATCAAGTAGCAAGAATCAGAAATAATGATTCTCCAAAAGGTAAGAAGAATAAGTACCCTCCTAAGAGTAGCCCAGTTAATAAGAAACCAGTCAGAGAAAAGAGAGATTGTCTTTTCTGCAAGGGGGTATTTCATTTATCTAGAATTGCAATGCATACAATTCATGGAATGATAAAGTTGAAAGATTGGAGGAACTTGACAGATGTATCAGGTGTTTAGGTAATCACAATGTAAAGGGATTGTTATGCCAAATTAAACTTCTGTTTTTCAATGTCACAAAGGAAGACACCATATATTCATGTTAAGGGTCTATATGAAAAATGTTGATAATAATGATAATGTTGACAATCCTTGACACAACAGTGGCTAATGTAAAAATTGCTGCTAATGTTAATAATGAGGGTTTTTGCTGAAGTAGCCTTACCTGTGTTACAGGTAAAAATTGATGATAGGTATAAATAAAAAAAATGTAACTGCATTATTGGACCAGGGATCCCAGCGTACTTTCATAAAACGTAAATATCTTGATGGTAATAAAAGTACAGAGGGGAGATCCACAACTTTAAAATTATCTGGTTTTCTCTCGGATAAAAGGGCTCAATTGTATGACACTGTTTATTAACTGTCATGGTTGGGCAATGAGAAAAAACGTGTTAATGCAGTAATTGTAGATAGACTTCCAGAGAAAAAAATCTACAGTAGGGCTTAGTAAAGCTACAGAAAGATTTTCACATATGAAAATTTTAAAGCCCCTTTCCCTGGGTAAGTGATGATTCTGTAGGCCCAATAAAATTTTGATAGGTA